GAAGGAGGAATGTTATATCTAATATTTGATATCTATATCGTTTCATCGTTCTTAAAAACATTTATAAAATTCCATTTGATCAGATAATATTAAAGCAGGCGATAAATTTTTCATACTGAGATGCTGACAAAGTCAAACTGGACAAAACGAGAATTTGTTTTTATGTATTTAAATAAAAAATATAAAAAAACGAACAGATATGTTTCAAAAGAATGTCGATATTGATTAGATAGAAAAACGCTTATTGATTTTTTTACATCCTACTACCTTTCAGTAACCCTTCAAATAACATCTAATAATATAAGTGTTAACTACTGTTTTGGCTGAATCAAAGAATTTTCTTAATTTTCCCGCGAGAGCATCTTCAAAGAATCTCGCGAGAGCGTGATTCTTTGAGGAGAAAAAAATTATATTCACTATTAAATTTTTCTGAAGGATTAAAGAGACGAAAAGCCTTAATACTTGAATAATTGCGGTAAGTAAGGAATCGTGGGTAGGATCTGCTTCCGTAAAGTGTAAAAAATATCATTATGAATTTGATAATTATAGATCGATTTTTCTTCTCTTCTCTTTTCTTTCCTTCTTTTTTTCGCAGTTTTTGAACTTATTTTTACCTAAATATTAAAGCTTATACTCCTTTTCTAAACTCAAAAACCTTCAAATAATAAAAATATATATTAAAAATTCTAAGAGTGGTCAAGAGGGCTGAGTTTCCCGAAAATCACGTGAAAAAGTTTAAGGATTCAGGGTACAAAGGCTTCCTGACGTTTTAAACTCATTCTGCTTTTCGCCAAAACTGTTATTAAATATTTTCATTGTTTGGGAATTGTTTCATTGTTTATGGATTCATGGTACGAGGGGTTAATGACGTTTAAGTCTCAACCATTTTTCGACAAAAATGTTTATTTATTTATTTTTTCGGAATGCTTGATTGAGGATAAAAAAAAAGGGAGACTAGAAGCTTAAATAGCTAGAAAAAAAATTGAAAATCTTAAAAAAAAAAAAAATCTGCAATTTTTATTATTTTTATCTACCAAATCCCACTTCAACAGTTTATGTTTTAGAAATTTTCACTTCCCTGTGAAATTTGGATGAAATATTTGCAAAAATAATTAAGGTGAGTACCCGAAACTTTTGTGAGAAAGTTTGACAGTTTTATATTAGGAAGACAAACTGAGATCTTCCCTCATCAGTTTAACCAAAGTTATGACTATATAATTTTGTTATTAGAAGGTGACTTAGGGAGAAAAAGGGAGCTAAAAGCTGGAACATGTAGAAAATAAGATAGAGTCACGAAAAAAACCCCAAAAAAAAACGATAATTTGTAATGTGTAATTTATTTAAGAGATTAAGAAAGAAAATTGCCCCCAAAATCTACTATAACTAATCAAATCTACAACTGTTACTGTTTTAGAATTTTTCATTTTTTTAAACTATTTCCTCTACCGCCATAAAATATCGATATGAAGTTCTTGGTCATTAAGCATCGATATATGCCGGGGGAGGGTTGAATGTTTTTAAAAAAATAAAAAACTCCGAGCGATTGGGGTTAACCGGGTGTTAATATCAGGATTCAGGAGGTCCTTTTATGCAAATCAGCTTGGTTTTATTTCATGCATCGCAGTGTAATAAATTTTAGAAATGGATGGGAAAATTATATGAATCGAGCAATTAGTTTGAGATTTAGTTAAAAAATGCTTGATGTAAAAATAACAATAGACACCTTTTGGCTCGTTTTCTGACTAACACTATATTTTTAAGATTATAGTGTTAGTCAGTGCTTCCTGTAAATTGCAAAGTGATAAATCAGGTTTTTTTAAACGTTTATGCATTCAGAAAATATACATTTGTGCTATTTCGTAGCTTTAAGTATTGTCTGCACTATAATTAATAAATTCAAAATATCCCATCTTAATATAACAAAGTGGTAACTTGGAGAGGGATAATCTGATGATTAGGTCAAAAGTTATTTAAAGTCCTCTTCAGATAGAAAAGTATTTTTATTTCATCCATGTTAACCTATGGAAAATTAAATGAACGCTATTTTCTTTCTTATTAAGTAACTATATTTTAGAATATTAATTTAGTATAAAATTATCTCATGGTAATGTGCTATTTTACCCCAAGTTATCAAATTTTAAGGTTTTAGGCATTTTGTTCTTTCGCCACTAGTCACCAGATGTTAAGTTGTAGGCTTTGTATTTTTTTGATCCTAGTTACTAAATTTTAGTGTTATCGGCATTGTGTTCATTTGTCCCTTGTTATCAAATTTTAAGGTTGTAAGCATTGTGTTCTTTTGCCCCATGTTTACTAAATTTTAAGGATGTGGGCATTGTATTCTTTTGCCCCATGTTACTAAATTTTAAGGTTGTGGGCATTGTGTTTTTTTGCCCCATGTTACTAAATTCTAAGGTTGTGGGCATTGTATTCTTTTGCCCCTAGTTATCAAATTTTTATGGTAGTAGGCATTGTGTTCTTTCGCCCCTAGTTTCCAAATTTTAAGGTTGAAGATAAGTAAATATTTTCTTTGTTTTTATTCTAAGTATGAATATTTTAAAAATTCTTGCAACCTCTAAATTTGGTTACAAGGTTCAATAAAAAGGAATTAAAATATTTCATCAATACTTTTGTAAAAAAAATAAATTAAAAATACGTGGCTTAACTCTCGTTCAAAAATTTTGAACCAAAGTATTAATAACAAATTTTTATTTCAACTTATTTTACAAGAAACAATTTTTCGAAAGTACCTGAAATAAAACTAAAATTTAACCTTTTAGATTTCGCTTAGATAAATGAAAAAAATTGCTTATTTCAATGAAAACAACAAAAATTAAAAAAGAAAAACTTTATTTTCAACACTCATCAAAAACAATAAAATAACATTTCGCACTTGCGAACTTGTTCAACATTATATACATACAAATTCAACAAGGTAATGTAACATCACAGGCAAGATGCTCACTGGCAATGGCGGTACTAAAAGTATTCAAAGCTCTTTTTAGCACTCGTGAAAAAAAGACTTATCAAAAAGCTCATTAAGCTATATACAATGACAAGCAAGTAAAATATATATACAAGTCTCTAACAATTTGGCTAATGAATTCAACTTTTATGGACTAGAACCAAAATATTAGAGATAATTAATTTTCGTAACCAAAATGTTAGAGATGACTAATTTTTTGTGACGAAAATATTGGAGATAATTCATCTTTGTTAACAAAATATTAGAGTTAATCAACTTTTGTAACCAAAATATTAGAGATAATAAATTTTTGTAACCAAAATGTTAGAGATGACTAATTTTTTGTAAAACAGATTTTGGATCTGCTTTAAAGAAACGATGTCACTGATAAATTTAAACAAAAATTTGGGTTATTTGACGTAAAAATACGTGTCTGTCAATTTTTAAGCTTTTCTGAGTTGGAGTGAGAAGCCAAGCCAAGAATCAAATAAAAAAATTTTTAAAAAAGGCAGTTTTTTTTATCAAGAAAACTTTTTCAAAAAAATATTCTAAGACTAATATTGATGATTTTTGCACTCTTCACTATCTAACAGTGCTACCTTTCACTAAAAAAAATTCGATAAAACGTTGAACCATAATTTCAGAACCTTGAACCATAATTTCGTGCAAATTTGTTACAATATTCTTAAGGTATTAAATTTAAAAATATTTCAGTTTAAGTTAAACAATAGTATCGTGAACTCAAGATTAAAAAGTTCGATAATATATTTCAACTTAGCATCAAGCTTTAACGATATTATGGTTCTAAACGCTCTAAAATTTTTAATAGTGAATTCTCTTTTTAATGTTTAAGTAAATAAACATATTAAACGTAGTTATCACAAACCAAATATTTATTCAATATTTATTTTAAGAGATATAATCTATTTTGAAGTGTAACAGCAAAAAAAAAATCGCTTTCATAGAGAAAATACCTGATACCTGAATTACGTTAATATAAGATGACGTTAATATTAAAGTCAAAAATAATTTTATATTTATGGACATCAGGGTTTTAAAAAATTAAATTGTAAAACTATTTTTTTTTCAGAAAAAAAAGAAATTGCGAACATGAAAATTTCATTTCGGTGGGTTATTTAACGTGTTTCTAAATGTTGGAGTTATTTATTATTTTTTTTTAGTCTTCGGCTGTTTCTGAAATTATGAACCATTTGAAACAACCAACAGTATGTAAATTTGATTTAGTTCAGAGTTAATGCTCAACGTTTGAGCAGGATAAAAAAAAAATTCTGCTTTGAGCACTGGTCAAAAGTTTGCAGAGATCGAACCAGAATACTCAAGAATTGATGAAGCAAAAGTACCCGAGAAGTATTCAACGGTTTAACCGAATACACAACCAGGTAGTTTTGGTGTTTAATTAAGCTTCGGTTCAAAAAAAAATTGAGTTGCTATGTTTACAAACGTGGATTTTGTTTAGATAATTAAGAATTACGTTTAAAAACGTTTGTTTCTTGGTTTGAAAAATAAACATAATTAGAAATCTTTGTTTCCGAATTAAAAATTAATAACTATTTTTAGGAACATTTGCTTTCTGCTTAAACAAAATTATTATATTTTGGAAACATTTCTCCTGTTTTAAAAAATAAATGAATAATTAGATTTAGAAAGTTTTTTTTCTATTTCAAAAAATAATAGTTATGTTAAACATTCATTTTCTGTTTTAAAAAAATAATAATTAGGTTTGGAGTAGTTTGTTTTTTGCTTATAAAATAAAAAAACACGCTAAATGTTTGATTAAAAACTTTACAAAAAAGTTTAAAATGTAACAATAAATATTAATAAATGATATGAAAGATTTAAATTCAACGAAATATGCTCATCTGCTGTTCAAGTTAGCAGACATTTCCATCATTTTACGAACGGCATTCGAACAGACTAATTTTGTGAGATTTGCAATTTTCTCTTCTTTTAAACACCTTTGGCGAAACAATTTATCACATACCAGGTGCTAGTTTTAATAGCTATGGCGTTCGAAACAATGGGAACATGAAAATGGAGATGAGCAACTAAAATGAAATAACTTCTATTGTGAAATGTTCTATTCACATTCAAGCTCTTCGTGTGTCAGTCTTTAAGTTTTTTTCATCACCCGAGGAATCATCATTTACTGGACTTGATGAGAAATTGGGAGTATTTCGTCCGGCAGCGGGTGATCCGGGAGAATTAAGGACCGCGTTTAAGCTGGACACCAGAACATTGTGACCAATAAGGCAGTCAGAAGAGAGTGTTCTCATCACGGTCATAGTGATAGCAGCCTGAAAAGAACAAATGGAATGTTTAAATAAACAAACAATTAAAATTTGCGAAATATAAATCACAATATCTTATTAATCTGAATATCTTAAAAAAATATAAGAATATCTTATAAATCTGAATATTCTAGAAATATCAGAATATCTTTGAAAATATGTGAATATCTTATAAATCTGAATATTCTAGAAAATATCAGAATACCTTAGGAAATATCTGAATATCTTTGAAAATATGTGAATATCTTATAAATCTGAATATTCTAGAAAGTATCAGAGTGCCTTAGAAAATATGTAAATATCTTTGAAAATATGTGAATATCTTATAAATCTGAATATTCTAGAAAGTATCAGAATGCCTTAGAAAATATGTGAATATCTTTGAAAATATGTGAATATCTTAGAAATCTGAATATCTTAGAAAATATCAGAATATCTTAAATATCAGAATATCTTAAATATCAAACAATCTTAGAAATCTGTAACCCAGAAGAATGTAAATTTACTATGTGAATAAAAACATATTTTGACATTAAATAATTTTGAATTTAATATTTTAAATTAATAATTATTAAATTATTAAATTTGTTTGAATTTAATATTTTCACTCTTACTGGAATACTCGGTCACTTTTAAAAATCGATTTTTCAGGAAATATTGACTTATTTCGTTCAAATTTTGTATTCTGACTCATAAAATTACATTATTTAAAATGATGTAAAAACTTGTATTCTTAACAATTAAAAAATTTCGACTATTATTAATAAAAAATAATAAATAATTATTAAAAAAAAATTTTTTGCGTGAAATTATCGTTTGATGAACGTATTTTATGATTGAGTGCAGAAATATTTAGATTTACTTAAAAAAAATCTTGAGATATTGAGATCATATTTTCCTAATTTCAGCTACTACTATATCTTAAGGGTCAGAAATCCAAATTCAAAAGAGAAAAACCTATCTTTATTCAGAAAAAGTACTTTTTTGTGTCTGATTTCGTTGTAACTTAAAATATCGCCTGCATTAGATAATTACCATATTAGAGGTCACCTCCTCTAACCATTAAGATTGAGTCTGAATACGTGAAAATCCTATCATTAAAAATCAAAATTTATTCAAGATTACTCTTTTTTTTCATTTTTTGCATAGAATACATGAATACTTAAACAAAATATATTAATAACAGCTTTGATTGAAAACTTAAAGCTTTCACACACGTAATTTCATTTCTCTTAAGTTTTTGTAATATCTTATTTTAAAAGATGTTTCATTAAAAGGTGCACTTTTAAAATGCGATTTAATAAATTTTGCAACGATACGATAGTATACGATACTATAGAGATAAAATTGTTTTGAAAAAGCCAGCATTAGTATAAAGTAATTTTAAAAGAGAAAAAAATGACACGATTTAAAATAATTGTTATAATTTAAATGAACCATCACTACGACATAGACATACTTTGAAATATTAATATTTAGACTGAACGAGAGAGTGTGATAACTTGTTTATTGAGAAAATGCTCTTCATCTAACAACCAATACTGTTTCTCTATCCCTAAATATATATGAAAAGCCTTATTCTGAAGCACAATTTATCCACGAACAAGAAAAGTTCTACGAATATAAGACATTTTCGCCAATCTTAGATCAAATTTTAGCATAGTGCTCAAAATAACATAAAAGCAAATTACATTTATGGGATTTTTTAGAGTCGTTTACAAACTGCACTGTAAAGTGTATAGTTGCAATCATTAAAGTTAACTAAAGGTAAATCCAACAATTAGATAAACTTAAAGAGGTAAAATTAAAAAGGGTAAAGTAAAATTAGGTAATTAAAAAGTTTTAGTTTACCTAACATGCAGAAAAACTAAATTTTTTTTGCAGTGCATGTCGTCACAGTTTTATTTACTTTGCTCCGTTACAGCTTTATTTAATTATTTATTCCTTTTTTGTTTGTTTACTGACAACACATATTTTCATGCGCATTAGATTCAATTTAGTGGCTTTATTGTAAAAACACCTCGTTTAAAAATATTTCCAGAAATTTATTCACACTAATTCTTTCAAGCAAATGTTACTTTCTCAGTTTTATATAATTTTTTATACCATAACTACTGTTCTCTACAGAAAATTTATATTTTTTACCTCAACAACAAAACTGGAGACAACTATACACCAACATTTTTGCAGTGTATAGTTGAAATTAGTATTAAATGCGCATTAAAGTTCATAAAACTTTTGGTTTGATATCAAATAATTATTTACATTTCTAACTCAACTTATAATACTTGTTATGAAAGCAGTTTTTAAAATTTGTCTTAAACTCTTTTTTAATTAGGACAAATGGAAATAGTATTTGCCTACTTCACGATTTTAACGTTGAACGGTGCCATGATAAATTTGATAATTTTATGCTTTATTATTTGATACTTCAACTAATTTATTTTCGCATTTCTTTTGTTATTTTTTTAAAGAAAGTTTGAAATTTATTATACCAGAACTTTATAAAGTATTTAAATTTTTGTCCTCTTTTTTTTCTTCTCATTTATAATTCGTTTCATAAAGACGTTTTGAGTACTTTTTAAGCTGTATAATTTATGTGAGTTTCTCCTTAGTTTAACCTTGGACGCAGAATTTTTATTAAATGTATTTTATATACATTTTATCTTAATATGTATTATTTCATCTTCCAAAAATAAATCTTCCAGTTATAATCTTCCAAACAGTAATTTTTTTTAAGTTTGCACTTATTTGCAGTTATTTAGATCTAAGAGAAATAGTTATTTATCATTGAAATTAATTAAAATTACAAAATCGATAATTAATAAATTTTTAAATATGAATGAAAAAAAATTATATTTATTTTTATTTTTTGATTCTATATATTAGTACAAATATAATTTCACATTAAGATTATACATACACATTAAAATTCAAGCATTAAGAAAGCGAAAATCGAGGAATTTAATCTAAAATCCTAGATGGCTCGGGCAGAGGCCTCTCAAAATGAGACAATGTATGCGCATGTACTTTATTTACGTTGCACTAGAGCTGCCAATGGGCTATTGGCGACGGTCTGGGAAACATCCCTGAGAATGATCCGAAGTCATGCCATCGCAATTTTGATCCTCTGCAGACGGGGTGGCTCCTCTGCTTTGGTAGCCCGACAACCTGCGCGCGAAATCGATCACTTCAAGGTAGAATAGTTAAAAGAGAACTTATACCTCGTACCCCCAGTCCGTCCCGCAGTGGACTGATCGTTAAAACACGGTTCCCGGCAGAACACCGAAGTCAAGCATCACTGTGTGCGGGTGGGTGACCTTTTGGATCAGTCTGCGTAGGGACCGAGGGTGTGCGGTATGGGTCCTCGTTAAACTGTGCTACCGTGAAGTGCACGACTTCGCGCGCAGGTCGTCGGGCTACCGAAGTGGGAGTGCCATTCCCTCCGCAGAGGATCAAAATTGTGATGGCATGTCTTCGGATCATCCTCCGGGATGTTGCCCAGACCGTCGCCAATAGCCCATTGTACAGCTCTAGTACGACGTAAATCAACAACAACAACGTACCCCCAGTCCCTACGCATGCTAATCTAATCCACCCGCTTTGACCGCAACCTGTGATGCTCGACTTTGGTGTAAAATGAGACAAAAATAGTTTGTTTTTATTTTGCAAGGAAGCGTTTCAAATTTCTGTTATTTACAAAGTGGGCGGGTGATCCTACAAAAGTTAGGAGCTTAAAGTATGTAAGCTAATAATGCGAGTCTTACAATAAGACAAAAATTGTTCATTTTGTACAATAAACTTACAATGCACAGTCATTATAACAGTAAAAAAACTCATGTTTTTTGACCACCACAAGGAATACGTCAGTACATTCTACACTCTATTTATAACTCGCTAAACTGCATGTCAAAAGCGGCGCGCCGCAACATTTCAAGCTAATCAAATAGTCGACACGCACGCATATTTCCCTATTATCGTTGGAATTTTTCGACTGACAACGCGTTAACAAACATGATTTACGACATTAAGAAATCGAAAGTAAAATTTACGATCGACAACAAAATAAATATACCGTTTTGTGTTTTTATTGTACAAAAATGATTGAATAAGAATAGTGAGAAAAAAAAAATGAAAAGTTGAAAAAGTACTGAAAGTGAAAGAACAGTGACATTCGTAATTGGTGACCTTGTGCTTTAATCGTAAAAGTAGGAAACCGCGTTATTAAGGTCAATATTAATTCCCTCTGTAGACAGATTTAATTCGGTGATTTTGAGAAATGGGGAAGACTGGAGAATGTTATGCGCGTGGAAAATATCCAACAGAATCAAGTGTTTGTTATGTTTTATATGTAAACTAAAACAGACAATATGCAATTTACTTGTAATACGAACTAAATTTGGGTACTGATTCGGTGATTCGAATCACTCACTTGCAAATGATTCAAAATCAGTGATTCGAATCAATTATGATTCGAATCAATTTATTTGAATTAGTGATTCAAATCAAAGCGAACTAATTCTTGTTATTCGAAACCCTTTGATGATTCGTTTTGCCCAATTTTAATACGAACTCATAGGAAATTTAAAAATGTTCAAATTATCTAATAATCGAACTCGATAATTTTTATTTTATAACCGTCGTTGAGCAGCTGACCCAATTTCGGGTTTGCGACTACTAATGTTCAACTCCGCAGCCTTGTAATCTTGAACCAATCCAGAAGACAAGGGAACTCCTGGATCAGTACCCTACGGGAAACTACTGGGTCATTTGTTATGGGAACATGGAGGACTTTGTGACTCGACAGATTTAACGTGCATAAGTCACCATTTATTACACGGAGAGTCTTCGGCAGGCGGGGATAGAACCTACGACCACCTGGACATGGGCTCAGTGCCCTACCAAGGTTTTCCCGGCCCGAACTCGATAATTTGAAATTTTTTTCCTATGTGGTTCTAATTTATTCGTTTTTCTTTTCAAAACAGTGGCTACTTAGTTATGATTATTAAGAGGGCTCAACTTTTTTTTCTTCTAGAAATCAAGATATTTCCACGTTTTAAACTGTAGAAAATTTAATGTAGCTCAATAAATAAATATTTATAAATAACGATTATTAGGTAAATTTCAAAAACAGTGATTTGTTTAAGAAATATTTAGAAAATAGCAATTTTAAGAACCCTTCTAAAATTGCAGTTTTCATGAATATATCAAAGATAGCGTTTTTTGTAGATTACTATTTAAAAAAACAGCGTTTTTATTGTATAATTGAAAAATAGCGATTTTTAATTTAATATTTCAACATAGAGATTTCTAAGTATAATATTCCGAAAATGGCGAATGTATGCATAATATTTTAAAATATTATTAAAATCGTATTAAATCAGTTTCATTTATTTTTTTTCAATTAAAGTTTTTTTTTTGTAACGTAAAGTATGTGTTAAACACTTTTATATACAATTGAGTTGAATTTATTTGAAAATATTTTATACTAGATTAATTGTTTTGAGAACATTATACTCTTTTAATATTACCTGATACTTAGTAATTAAATGCATTGTATACTGTCTTTATCCAAAACGCTTTTTCAATTTTTTTTAAAATTGTTTTTTTTAAACAAAACAAAAAACTTCAGTTGTTAGTTTTTATAAAAAACAAAAAAAAAAAAACAGTTTTAACAATTAAGGAAAAAGAAAGTCTTTGTGTAAAGATAAAAAACTATTTTTTTTTTAAAAAAAATTGAAATTTAGTAAAATTTAAATAAATGAACTTTAAAACAAATATATGCTTTTAAAATCCTTGTAAAATGTGTCAAATGAAATGCACATTAGGGATCACAAATTAATGTTCAATAAGGAAAAAAAATGCATTATCAAAAACTGACGAATAATTATTGAAATAAGTCTGATTCAAAATATCAAAGCTTGATTGACTTAATAATGAAATTTGAAAGTGTTTGAAAAAGCACACAAGAATACAGGTTTTGAATCATCATATTTTAATAACATTAGCATTTTTTTCTTCAATTTTTGCTCCCTTTAGCTTAAATTTTTCTTTTTGTTTTTCTTTTCTGACAAGGTTTTTAAGAAACTAATTAAGGGTGGTGATTATGAATTACCCGGCAGTTGGTTTTAGATTACTAATAAACCAAACTGCTGAATGTTTTAAGAGTAATTTAAAGAAATTAATGATGAAATTTACAAATGACTAAAATCTGACTCCTTTTTTAAAAATATATATTTAATTAATCTATCACATAAAATAGCTGTGTGAAAATTTGTAATTATTTCCTCTCACAATAACAAAAAAATGGAAACTTCATTTCAAGAAAAAATAATGCATCTTTTAAATATAAATTTAATTACACATTGTAACACATAAATCTGTTTATATACTTATTTAATATGAACTAGTACACAGCAAAATGTGAAACAATAAAATTATAGCAATTGATGATGTAATAATTATAATTTTTTTCCAAATAAATTCATAAATTGCCACTATTTTACATTACATTTGAAATTTATTAAAAAAAAGTCTTCTTAACAAATTTTATTATTTATTATTAGCAAAATCTCCCAAACAATAATAAATAACCTAATATGCATAGCCTGTTAGATAGTTATTAATGAAAACTTGTATTTTGCACATATTCTATATGATTTTAACAAATTCTATATGATTTTAACAAATTCTATATGATTTTAAGTAAACTTCAACAAAACTATGAAAGCTTAGTTATGTAATCCTGAAAAAAGTTTAGTGACAATTTTTTCTTTAACAAATTGACACTTTTAGTTTTAACTTGATTGAATATCACTAGTCACAATTTTTTCCTTAACAAATTGAAAATTTTGGTTTTCACTAGATTGAATATCACTAATAACAATTTTATCCTTAACAAAATGAAAATTTTAGTTTCAACTTGATTGACTATCACTAGAATGTTTATTCTTAAATAAAATAAATTAACATTTCCAGTTGTTAAAATTAGATTTAATCTTAAAGTAGACATTGATATAATATGAACATTGAAGTGGTTGTTAATACGAGAAATTATTAAATACGAATTTTTTGTTTGTTAGTTATTGTTTCACAAGAAAATAAATCCACAAATAAGAATTTATAAATTACCTGATCACTCCATCCAGATCCATATTTCCATTCAGTAACGTAATGTTCACTATTTTTAGTTAGCATATTAAAAGTCACTTCCTTATCTAAATCAGCATAACAGTTTTCTAATACAGTTTCTACAGGTAAAGGTTCCAACCCTCTATCTTTAGCACCAACTATTTTATTGTTAACTCGGACACCACCATTCGGGCCGGCAACATCGCTCAAGCTGGACAACCTGATGACAGCAGTGTCCAACGGCGTTATTTCATTATTGTCTCGATCCAGATGTGCCACATGGACCACATTCCCATCGCCGACATACAGCGCCCAATGCGTATACAAAACCCTGTCAACTTGAATTAAATCTCCAACTTCTGGTTGCAATTCATTTGATGATATGAATGAACCCAGACCAAAACAATCGGATTTTAGAAAAAGTTTATCCGATGGTGAATTATTAAAAGGAGAATTACAGTTTTTTGTCCTTCTAGCCGGCAAAGGACTGCTAACTTTTTGAACGTTCATTTTCATTTATGAAACTTAAAACAGAGAAACGGAACTAAATCAGAAATAACTCACGCTGTTGCACTCACAGAATAACAAAACTTTATCTACCGTTCTAGCGGAGTGGAAGACAGTTAATACCTCTGATTTCAGAAACACGCATGCGTAATAGAGTTTTCGCTTGTTTATTTATTTTTGTGCTTTTTTTTATTTCCAAGGCAACGAGCATCGGATGTGGCGCAGTTTGATAAGGATGAGAAGATTATAAAGGATTCTAATTTATTAGAGAAGGAATAAAGAGCTGTTTCTTATCGCTTGTTTTTTTATTTTTTATTTTGTGTAATGTGTTATTATATAAAGTGCCTGAGTTATCTTCTCTAATTCGCACGGAAATTAACATTTATCCACCAACAATAGAAATTAAGTTAATAAACTTCGAATAGAAGTCAGGGCGGATCTAGAAATTTTTCCTGGGGAGGGTCATAGAATCAGATTCCTTCCCCCCCTAATTAATTATTTTTATAAAAAATTTTTTTATTAATATTTTTGTGAAAATAAATCGGGTTTTTAATGCTAGTCTTCTCATTTATTTTTTTCGTAATGAACAATACAACAATACATAAAATAGTTCCAGTGTTCAACATCTTTAAATAATGAATGTAATGCGTTTTTTAGAAACTTTGGTAAATCTGTCAATGATTTTTTCAACGTCCAAATCAATTTCTCGATGAATGTTTAATAATGCGAGTCTATTTAATCTTCTTGATTTTGAGTTTGCTCTAAGCAAAGTTTTGAGACGTCGAAGAGTTGAAAAGGAACGTTCTGCTGTTGATGGCGCGAAAAGAATATGATTAGGTGGGGGAAAAAATCGATTTTTTCGACCTAAGAAGGTGTACATGCCTCCTTAAATAATTTTTAAAATATTTAATTTCTTTTGTAAGCTATTAAAAAAATTTTTTTTTAATTATTTTTGTTTTAGAGATGGGGTCTNNNNGGGGGGGGGGTCATGACTCCTACGACCCCCCTCTGGATCCGCAACTGATAGAAGTAATGGAACAGAGAAAAATTTAATAAATTTCGAAAGCATTGAGAAGAAATAGAAAAAGTCATAACAGTTTTCACGCATCATCTTTTGAATATATTTGTAAGATTATAAAGAAAAAAAATATTGTTATCCATTGTTTTATTTATACACCCAGACCCAATTGAAAGAGGACAAGTGAAGCCGAGCCTAGCCTAGCAGATTCACCTGTCCCAAATTAAGTTATTAAATATGTTATTTAAACTAATCAATTAGTTTACTCATATTAATATTTAATTAGCAAATTTTAAGATAATAATAAACAAATCTAGACCATAAAATTATCAATTAGAAAAGGTAAACTGCCACCAGCCAACCCCATTCAATGTGGAGTGCCCCACCGGCAAAGAAATTCTTGTTACTGGCCTACATACAATTCTATGCTAATTATTATAAGAACTTTTAGTAATGTGAAAAATGTTGAATCAGAATCTAATTGAAACGTTAAATCAGAATCTAATAGAAAATTAAAGCCCCTTAAAAAAATGCAGTATACTTTCAATATCTCAAAGTTAAAGGGACGTTTAAAAAAATTCGAACTTTTGAGTTTTCGAGATAACAAGTTCAGAACTAAATGTTCCAAAAAGTAGGAAAAAAAAATTCTAAAATAAGACTATGAAAAGTAGTGTTAGAAACTTCTATTAAATATGCATGTAATGATCGCTGACTATAAGTCTAAATGCAATAATAATAACTTTATTTTTAGAAGTAAGACAAAAATAATTATGCCTTAAATAGAAAAGGATAAGTCTACAAATTAGCATTAAGTAGATATATAATACCGAGGAGAGAAAAAAAAAATTTTTTTTTTGACATAAGAAGGTTTTCGAGATATCGAGAATATACTGTATACCAATTTAGTTTCCAGCACGCTTGGAAAGTTTCTTTCAAATTTTTTTTTTCTAAGTGTATGTATGCTGGTTTATAAAAATCACCCGAGTTATAAAATCAAAGGTGATTTTAATAAGCAGCGGGTACTCTAGAGGCGGTACTATACAGCGAAGGCGTACCATTTTGAGAAGTGGGCCAGTCCCGCAGTGGACTGATAGTTAAGACACGGTTCCCAGCAGATCACCGAAGTCAAACATCACTGGCTGCTGTCAGTGTGCTGGTGAGTTACCACTTGGATCAGTCTGCGTAGGGACCGATGGTGTGCGGTATGGGTCCTCGTTAAATGTTCTACCGTAAAGTGCTCGACTTCGCGTGCTGGTCGTCGGGCTACCGAAGCGGGGGTGCCATCCCCTCTGCAGGGGATCACAATTGTGATGGCATGTCTTCGTATCATCCTCAGGGATGTTTCCCAGACCGTCGCCAATAGCCCATTGTGCAGCTCTAGCGTGACGTAGATGAACTACAACAGCAAGAAGTGGGCCAAATTGTGTTCGTTGTTTTCTTAAATATCAGCTCGTGGATCACTAAGTTGGTGGGACCACTAGAAAGGGAAGAAGTAAAAAGGATAACATTGGTTTGGAAACGTCGTAAATTTACTATTCGTTAACAAAAAAAACTTGATTGACGCCCCTTTTATTTTCTCTAACTTTTCGAAACTTCTTTTCCTTTTAATTAATAATAAAAATACGCTTATAATAATCAGCTGTGAGTCATTTATAAACTTTTGGGGGCCAGTGTCTGATTCGTGAGTCATATGTGCGTCATCACCGATATTGACAGATATGTGAGTAATAGCATACCTGAATCGTTCGGGGCAACATAAGAATTCTGAAAATTTTCTGTGTTGGCAACTAATTCAGTGTAATATGTTATTTAGTAATTACAATGTTAAAGGAAATTCAGATAACTATAAGTTTCATAAACTTATTCTTTATTTATTAGTAAATACTGAACCGAATTACTAGGGTACAATTTGTTTCATTTTTCTATTAAAAATTGCTAAAATTTAGGTTCAGGTAGTTTAAAATAAACATGCAAAAAAAGTTTAAAAAAAGTGAGAAAAAAAAAACAAAACGAGTGTAATAATAAGTGTAATGGATGTTGTAATTGTGACAATAAACTTAATGGTTGATTGAATTGAAACAATAAATAAAATGAATATTCTAAATGTTATTAAATACCAAACCTAAATAATAAAGCAGAATTTGTTTCACTTTTCTGTCAAAATTTTGTTGTTAAAATTAAGATCAGGTAGTTTGAGTTAAACATGCAGAAAAAGTAAACATAGTAACAATAAATTGAATGGATGATTGAATTGAAATAATAGTTAAAATGAATATTCTAAACGTTATTTAATTCCAAACTGAATAACTAAAGAATAATTTGTTTCCCTTCTCTCTTAAAAGTTGTTAAAATTCAGGATCGTGTAGTTTGAGATAAGCATGCAGAAAAGAAAAAAAAGGAGAAAAATAATAAATGAAGCAAATACAATGAATGAATAAATGTTCTGACTGTAATAATAAGTTTATAGTGGAAGAATAATTTCAGTGTAACCATAATAAGTGAAATTCATGCTCTAACGGTGACAATAAGTGCGTTGGATGATTAATTTGAATTGAAAGTTTTATTAAATACCAAACCGAATTACTAAAGTAGAATTAGTTTCACTTTTCTGTTAATAAGTTGTAAAAATTTTGTTTCTGAGAGTTTGAGATTGTTTAGATGTTTATAATGACTGTTTTAACAGTAATGATGTGTGTAGAGAATGTTTTTATAAGTTATATAAACTTACGTTCATTTTATTAGTTACGAATGAGAAATATGTATCATGTCTAGAGAAAGCTGTTACAGATACAGTAGGGAACCGATTATCCGGAACGTTCGGGACCATCGCTATTCCGGATAACTGATTTTTCCGGTTTCTGAATCGCTACAAAAAGTCGTTTTTTTATTGTTAAACCCAACTAAAAAAAATAACATTTGGAAATAATCTTAAAAAGAAGAAAAAACGAAGTATACTAATGATTATTTTCAAAATGATAGTAAGGTAAACATCTTTCCAGAAAGAAAGAAAAATCCTAAGCTCTTATGGAGGGAAAATTTTTTTTTTTTAAATGGCGAGAAAATGTATCGAATTTCGTTCCGGTTTTCCGGTTTTCTGATTTCCGGATAACAGATTCTGTACTGTACTTGCTATTTTTAATTTACACTTTATCCATCGTTGTTTTTATTATAATATTTCTTAATAAAACAAACTAACGTTTTTCAATTGCTAGACATTATCTTTCGAAATCAATGGAAAATCGTCGCTTGTTTAGGATTTATGGGAATTGAACCAAAGTTTTATTTTAGATTCCCACTTTAAATAATAATTTGTCTGTCGATCGTGAGAAAAGGTATTTAGTAGTTGAAAAAGAATGCGAGAAATAAAAATATTCGTGGGAAAGAAAACCTTTGTTCACTACAAAAATAATTGAAAATCTTGGCTTCTTTTTCTCAACATGAAAAAATTCGAAAGATTTATCATGAAAAAACAGAATCGTTATCAATAGTTGTAGAAAAGTTTATCTCGCTGGAGATCTTATTTTACGCTTGGCTTGCTGTCAAAAATAATAAAAAAATTTATAATGAAACAAAAATGAATAAATAAAAAATTAGATAGATGATTTCAGATATCTTGAAATTTATAACTGAATTTTCAAACAATGTAAGATTTAAGACATCAAAAACGGCTTCCAATTTGAACAGTAAAATAATATAATATAAGTAGCTGAAANTTCGAGATAGCGAGTTTTCGAGATAACAAGTTCAGAACTAAATATGTTCTAAAAAGTAGAAAAAAAAATTCTAAAATATGACTCTGAAAAGTAGTGTTAGAAACTTCTAATAAATATGTATGTAATGATCGCTGACTATAAGTCTAAATACAATAATAATAACTTTATTTTTAGAAGTAAGACAAAAATAATTGTGCCTTAAATAGAAAAGAATTAGTTTACAAATTAGCATTAAGTGGATATACAATACCGAGGAGAGAAAAAAAAATTTTTTTTTTTGACATAAGGAGGTTTCCGAGATATCAAGAATATAAATCAATTTAGTTTCCAGCATGCTTGGAAAGTTTCTTTTAATTTTTTTTTTCTAAGTGTATGTATGTGGTTTATAAAAA